GTGGAAAAATCGTGCTCGAAATTTTGAACAATTAATAAATAATTTACAAGCACAAATTTTATTGTTACATAATAATCTACCAAATATAGCTACAATTGCAGGAGACTTAACCAGTATTGCACTATTAATTGCAGAGATTTCAAATTATAGTAGACAAATTTTACCAGATGAATGGTATCAAAGAATTAATCAAATATTAACTTTACTATCGATTACGTTAGCCGCCTTTAATGATCCACTTCGAGCAGATATTTCAAAAAGTAAGATGGCTAGAAAATATACAAATATACCTGCTCAACATGCTGGTAATAATATTGATACCCCAGCCTGTTTCATTGTTTGGTTCATTATAAATATCAAACAGAAACAGTTGGTACACAACAAGTCGCTACTCAAAGATTAGCACAAGAAAAATTCTTACCATTTGATAATCCAGAATCATATGAGACTAGAATTCATCCTCTTTTATTAGGGGTTGCTGATGGTGATGCCAATATCTTAAAACTTCTTAAGGGCCATTTATTGGGAGAGCTTTATACTTGGATGAAAATTGCTAATCCTGCTGGCATTAATGTATTTTTTACAGAACTTAAAAATATGTGATTAGAACATCCTCCGAATTTGTATAAAGGCTTCGTTTCTGACCAAATCTCTCAAACTCCAGCTGTTAATATACAAAATAAATCACATTCTGATAATAGTGGTATATCTCGAGCTGAATTAGATAATATGATAAAATCACAATTAGCTTTAGTACTAACAACTTCTATTCAGTCTTCATAGCACCAAAAAACACAAGCTTTACAGTCTCAGCAAAGGCAACCTGATTTCAAAGACTACTTTAGAGTACCAGATAAATATATGCCAGAAAGACCACCAGATCGGTATGGTGTAAATTCTGAAAAATTTATTCATTGTGATCTTATAAACCAAACTCCTTCATCCAACCAAATTATAGAATCTTTAGCTAATGATCTTTATAAATATGTTTTCGGCAAAGCCAGTGCAATCAAAGAAAAATATTAAAGTCGACTCTGATGAAGAACTGGCTGATTGTATAGATAAGTTATCAATAAATAAAGCTTTGTTAAAAGGTTTTGAGGCAGGAGTTCATGCTGTTATTAAATCATCCAAATACCATTGTTCAAATTGTAATAGAACCGGACACAATTCTCGTAAGTGTTCTAGAAAGAAATCTAAGAATTCCAAGAGATCTAGCAAGAATAAAAAAGGTAAGATTAATATGGCTATCAATAATTCTGGTTCTGATTCAGATTCTAACTCTTCTGATAATAATTC